GTCAAAGTGTGTATTTTTTATAACATTCTCCAGTAGAGCCACTGTGACGAAAACATGTATGGGCATTTATAAAGAAATTTATGGAGAAACTTTTGATTAAACACAAAGAACAAAAGTTGCAATATTCTTCATATCTATTTTATATTTCAGTGTTTATATTTCCAGTAAAATCGCGTTTAGTTACAAACACTGTTTGATAGTAATATTAAAAAACGGGGGAAGAAATCCACTGAAATCAATGTGATGCATTTTTCACACATCTAGTGNCTTCACTTGGCGTTTCCAATTGGCGTCAGTTGGCACAGAGGAGAAACGACTGGCGTGCTTTGCTGAACTCGGCCAAAATCGCTTAGGCGGTTACAGCGCCAAAAAAGAAGAAGAAGAAGAAGTGGTAGCTCGCCACTTAAGTAAGAAAACGAGTTCCTGGGCGCGCTCTCAGAAAAAATGAGAGAGTTTCATATCTAGTTATCCATGAAATTAGTACTGGATTTACTGGATAGTAGTACGCGAACAGTAAGTAGCCCGTTTCTGTAACTTTTTTCTACCGATTATTTCTCTACTGGTAGAGAAAATACGCCACTCTCACCTACTAATTAGCAGTCAAGGCGTATTTAACAAGGTGGTGTTGGCCGTATATAAGTAAAAAATTACACTAACAAATTATACGCTGATGTCCATACTGTCATTGGTATGAGTTACAACAAACACATCATTTTGACGTAATGGCTGCCACGGCGAAAAACTCAGGTGTCGCCCCAACACTACCTTGTTTAATACACCTTGTTATACCATGTTCTGACCGACAACGAAAACACCAAGGCGTATTCACTAAGGTGGTATCGGTACGCCAACAACAACATGTACATGTATTTTGTTTTTGCTTTTGCGGCGAGGACTGTCAAAAATTTCATAGGAATGATGTGGAAGAGAACAATAAACAATCAACTGCTCCAACCAATCACCAGCAGCCATTTGAGATATGAAGCCGTGAGGCGAAGAAAAATAAAAGGGCGCTGCTATCACCTGTTAAATACGCCTTGGAAAATACTTTGAAATTGAGTTTTGGAATTGTGGGCTGAAGGCTGTTCACACCGGCTTTTAGTGTTTTCATTGACATTTCTTATATCCTCTCATTGCAGTTTTGCTACACAAAAACAAAACTAAATGCTTTTCCCACATTTTCTTTTCATTAGCAACCTCTTACTTTCATTCTTATTTTACTTTGGCCAGCCAATTAACAATAAATACGAAATAGCGTATTAAAAATGATAAAATATGACTTACACTTCGATAAATAGTAGAAAAAAAACTAGTGAAGACACCTATTGGAACGAGTGGAACGTGAGTTTTCAAGTAGTTTTCAGCGAAAACTTGTTTTCGTTTGACAGATTTTACATTGACGCAAAGAACACATGTTTTAGGTCGAAAACTAGTTTTAGCAACGAAAACATGTTTTCTATGTCGGTCAGAACATGTTATTAGCAGTAGAGACCAGGCCGGCGAATTCATATCTCAATTCGCCTTGGTAGAGAATTGTTACAGAAGCGAGCTACAGGGCTATTGACAAGATGTATTAAACAAGGTGGTGTTGGGGGACAGCTGAGTTTTTCGCCGTGGAGGCCAATACGTCAAAATGATGTGTTTGTTGTAACTCATACCAATGACACATGATTCAATAATACAAGGGCTTTGTTTCTTTTCTTTTCTAGCAGATAATTATCAGGAAGAAGAAGAATGAGAAAATTGAAAGAATTACGCTCACAGAGAGCGAAATAACGAAAAAGTAAAGAAACGCAAAACTAGCAGAAACTAGCAAGTAATCAGCTGATCGGTGTATTTGACTATTAAAAATATTTGGCGCGAATTTTTGTTTATCCATTTTGACAGCTGCTAGTTTCTGCTAGTAAAAATTTTACTAGCAGAAATTAGCAGGAGAGCCAAAAAAAGAAGAGCGTAAGATCGAGAGAGAGCTGCTAGTTTCTGCCAGTTTTTTGGGTTAAGAAACGCTTTCCAGCAGAAATTAGTGATAATTTGTGATAATTATCTGTTAAGAAACAAAGCTAAGGTTAGATAATTATAGACAGCTGCGGTTTGACACTCCCTTACAAAAGTTTGCATTTACGAATGACGGAGAAAGGGGAAGAATGAAATCTCTTGGTGCGAAAATGGTAGTAGAAAAGTACGCAAAGTAGGCAAGTAGTAGTGAAATTCCTTTAGTAAATTCTAAAGTATTTGCAGGAAATCTGGCATTTTAATCGAAATGTTGAACGTAATATTGATATATCTACGTGAATTACGTAATTTATGTGCTATTCAGTTGTATAAAAACTGCGAAATGACTCAAAATTAAAATAAGACTACTATGAGATTGATGTAAACATCCAATTTAAAAGCAGTTAATGTTTTCATCAGTTAAATATGCTTCATATGTATATACAAATAAACATATTGCACAAAAGCTTATACTTCTATTTCACACCAAAGCTACACTGTTTCCATGCATGAACGAAAGACACAAGATCACGCGGGAAGGAAAGAACGAAAAAAGTTATTTTCTAGCTGCCGAAATCTCGACGCCATCTTTGTTATAAGAAGTAAACAACGAAGAGAACGGAGAAAACCGCGAAATTGTTGAACGCATGAAAAATAAAAATTTATTATGCAAATTCTTCTATAAATCATGCCGTTGTGTTAAATTATTCTTTATCTTATGGGTACACACGTTGTCACAAGCGAAAATGAAGAAAATTGCAGTAAAAAGCCACCACGAAATTGTAAACAACGAAGAAATGTAAACAAACGGCTAATGTCAAAATCGTTCAACTTTTTTCCTAAATGCGTTTCTAACGGGCTACCCTCCTGCCCGCGTGATCTTGTCTTTTTGGTTCATGGTTTCAGCCCTGTATGCAGCTCTCAAGAAAACGGTCAAGAAAAAATTTCCATTATTTCGAGTGTGTGTCCAAGGAATTTTGACATTTTTGATACCTCACAGCCTGTTGCCTCACTCTTTCCTCAAGAAATAATGGAACGGGCATATATTTCTGT